AGACCCAGGTGTTTGCATTATGTCAAAATTTTTTTTTTTTTTTTTTTTTTTTTTTTGTTGGTAGTGGGGGTGGTGGCTACGGGTTACACTTTTCCCCATGCACAATGAAAACATTGCAAACAACATCACTTAACTTAAACGCCAGCAGCTGGAGAAATAAAACTAGCCCGTGTGATGTGGCAGACAACAAACAGATCAGTATTTTAAATTGGAATGCGCTGTCATCACCCATATCCAATTGAGGACTTTGGCAGTGCTGCCAAGCCCAGACACAAATGCGCAACCGCAGTTTGAAACCAGGAATGAATGGGATGCTCGAGCTTGATGATGAGCTGTGCGCAAAACCGACTCACCACTGAATGTTATTTGCTTTGTGTACACAATACCCGAATGACGACAGAGCCGTATTACCGACATTCCCGTTTGTGAGTTGGCTCAATTTGTCAAGAGATAAATTATTAAAATCACATTCATGGAGAGATGCTTGTTGCACAAAATATATGTTGTGGTTTGTGTTGGAGCCTTTGCACAAGACATTGCCTGTCCCATAACTCCAGAAGAGAGCCTGCTGCGAAATTCCCCTCGTTTGGGGATGATGGCTGCATCCGTTCCAATTCATAGTTTGCCCCTTCCTCAATATCAGGCTTAAGTCTCCGCCAATTAGCTTGTTCTGGTCTCCCAAACCACACACGGCGCACGATGCACACGCGGCTTTCTGCAATGTCGCTGACCAAAACAAAATTACCTCGTAGACTGGACATAAGTAACGCACATCGGTTGTCATTTTATTCCGCAAACCTGCATCGGACCAGATCGTTGAAGGGAAATAAGCGCAGGGCTCCAATGAAGTGCAACAATTGCATTCAGCAGCATGGACGATTGTAGTTGTCAAGGAAATACGGTGAATCCAAAGTAAGCAATGGCTTTTGTTTGACCAAACCCAACACGCACCTCATTGTGTTGGTGTGCCTGCGCGCCTCTGTCCTTTGGCCTGCGTGAGCTGTGGGATGCTGCGCCGCTACTCGCAGTGGCTTAGAGACTGGAAGGGAGCGTGAAAAGAAAGACTAGTAAGAGGAGTGATTTTTCTCTCGTCTATTCCCATGGGTCCTGCAGCCAAGCTTTTCACTCGAGTTGCCACATTTCATTTCCTGCTGTGCATATGTGTGTGCGCCTGTGTGTCCGCGCATTGTGTGCATGTGTGAACTATGCGAAGGTCCCGCTCAGCCTTGGTGATTTATAGCGGCGGGCTATGGCCCTATCTGTTTTCGATCAATCTCATGCTTGGCTCTGGCTTCCCTCCAGCGCTCCCCTGGCCCGCCGGTCGCCGAACATGGGCGGGACCGCTCCGAAACGGCCTGCAAACTTGCACCGCTCTCCTTTCATTCTCTTCTTACCTCTCAGTTTTACTGCGTCTTCTGCCCATCTTCTGCTTTTTCCTCCTCTACTCCGACTTCACGCGCACAATTTCTTAAGTGCTTCGTCTTTCACCGGCAGCTTGAAATCCTCGCTCCCCATTGCACATGTCCTCACACCCACACCCACACACGCACCGGCAGACCAGAACTCACGCGGCTTACATTCTCTGCCCCCTCCGAGCCCCCGCATAATGCTCTCTGTCCACTGCTGATGTCATGTTGGCCAGCATCTTTCATTTTTTTTTACGACGCCGCATGCACGGTTCGCTGGCAAGTTTGTGGAGATCTAAATTCAAAGAAGGGTAAAGCGGGAGAGGTTGTGTCACTACTGGCGTGGTGGAGATTGTTCTCGTCTGAGTAATAGCGCCTGGGTTTCATCGCAGCCTTCAGTGCCCACTTCGGTTGTTAGCATTGGGCAAGAGGGTCTGGATTCCCAGAAAAGCCCCAACCGACGTGCAAGTGCGCAACTCTCTCTCTTGTCTGTGTATGCGTGACGGCCATAGTAACTCAAACAGGAAGTATGCTGTCAGTCATGCGCTCGCTCCAACACTTTCTTCGCAGCTGTCGGTCCGCACAGACACAAACAAGCACAAAGACACACACGCACACGAACACAGCTGGACTTCCTGTCTCTGGTGACCTTGGCCGCATTTAGGAGGCTCCGCGTGGTTTTCACATCCACTCCTCCACACGCAGCAACTCTCCCATCCCAAAACGAGCTCCTTCACTTTTATCATCTTTAGCCGCCTCCTTCCCGCCGTTGGTCTTTCACGCCTCATGTTCTCCCAGTCTTGCGTTTCATCTTAGCCACAAAGTGACAAAAGTAGCCCGACCCTTTGGCTCAGTCCACCTGTTGCAGCCATTTCAGGTTAATGATGTCAGAAGCGCCGCGGACCGCCAAGATAAACACAGGAGATTTACCTAAGCGAGCTGAATCAAAAGAGTCTCAAAAGTCCCGTCTTGCTCATCTGGATGGAACCGTGTCCCGTGAAAGAGAAGCAGGTCAGACAAAACAGATGCCTTGGCCTGTTAAATGCAAATCACACGGGCCATTTCTTTGGGCCACCGAAAACTACTTGCGGAAAACCAAAACGCAAAACCCGCTTCATAATTTGCCAATTAGCGTTTCTACAGACGTGGCTTGCGCATCCCCTGTGGTTGACTCGGTTCACTAATCACAGTGCACGGATTCCCTAACAAACGGATTATATGTTTTCAAATCATTGGTCCGGATATACTCATCGTATGTTTAGCATCGTTTCATTTCAAGGCCCAAATCAGCCAGACAAAACGCTCTGCTTCCAAAGTGCTCCTGGAAGGTTCCGATCCCAGTGAAGTTTCACGAAACAAATCGCATCCCGTTTCTTCTCCCGTTAGCTTCAAAGTGATACGTGCCTCCAGGCCGCCGACTGTGCTTTTTCTCAGCACCGATGCAATCGGAGCTGTTGTGTTGATGTTGGTTTCTGCGTCAGTGTTTGCCTTTCCGCGCGAGAAAGAAGCTGCGCTTCTATCCCAGCGGATGCATTAGCGGAGCTCAGAACTGCCAAACCGCACAAAGTGATGGAATGACACTTTGGAAGCCAAACTACACAGACAAAGAATGACACACATATTTGCGCGAATGAAGTTGTGTGGCTGTCATTTTAGTGGTAAATGTATGAAATGTCACTTCCTGATCAAAGACGGACGGGTGTTCCTTCACTTTCCAGTTTTGTTGATGCCGACAGACAACGACAAAAAAAAAAAACGACTAAGAGCATTGTCGTTCACAAATATCATTCAGATTCTCAAGCTTAATCACGAAACATCATGACAATAGACAAGTTAACATCCCTCTCAACCCTCTCAGCCCAGAAAGGTCTCCTCCACCTCAGTCCTGATGTCTACCAGGAGATGGAAGCCAGCAGAAAGCAGGGAGGCGCTTCCCCGGGCCCCAACGGCAGCAGTGGCGGCCCTATGAACTACATGGCCTCCAAAGACACGGGTCCCTGCGCCACCCCGCTCCCCCCAGGCCACGCTCCTCCATACTTCAGCGCTCCGTCTCCCGCTCCAGGCCCGACGGCCACCATGGCCCGGGAGCTGCTGCTCAACGGCCAGTCGTCCCCCGTGGCAGACTCCGCGCTGCCAGGAAAGGCGAAAAGTCCCCCCTTGGCCTGCGGCGTCTCGGTGCAACCTGCTCAGCAGCTGGAGTACCTGGCTCGCATCCAGGGCTTCCAGGTAAGCTTCGAAACAACCGCGGTGAAAACGCCACAAAGATATGTCGAGTGGCCACGCGAGACCGAGCCAAAAATATCACGCGCGCTCCTGCCCTGATGCTCCGCCTGCGTTGCGGTCTTGACCAACCCGTGTACTTACAAAGAAAACTTGTACACATACACACGCATTATTCAAAGCCTGCTTTTTAGATCCTAGGCGCATTCCCTTTTTTTGAAAATATGTGCACCTGGTCTCACTTGTGTGCGCATTGTGCTAAAAAGGACACGCAGGACTGGAGGGCACGCAAGTTCGTGCGGGACTGCCGCGTCAACTCACTCAGCATCACCTTATCTGATTTCTGTTTCTCACCGTGGACTTTATTGGCAAGCAATAGATTTCGAGAAGCCAAGCTCAAAGGTGCTTCATTACTGAGCAGGAGACATACACGCACACGCTCCAAACACGTACATTCAAATACCATCGGTCGCATTCAGTTTTTCAGCTGCAGATGCTTTTTATCAGTTTGCCAAAAAAAAAAAAAAAGTTACAAATTTTTCTCTTAACCTGCTGAGGGTTCTTTTGTTATGTGCTATTGTTATAGCTCTGAGCCTTCCTCTTTGTGTGTGTGTGTGTGTGTGTGTGTGTGTGTGTGTGTGTGTGTGTGTGTGTGTGTGTGTGTGTGTGTGTGTGTGTGTGTAACCTGAGAGAGCTGTACAGCCTGGCAAAGCCCAAACACACGAGCACGTAGGCGCAAAAACACACACATGCGCACAGCAGGTTCTGTTTAGTGAAACTGAAGAGTCGGGAGAAGCCCGGGTGTACGCTCGTGTGTGTCGGCGTGTGCGTTACGTTTGAGCCTGTCTTGTTCTCTGAATGTACAAGCCGGAATCTGCATTCTTGACATAGGACTCGAATATTTCTCTGCGAATCCCGCATTGCATTCATGTGAGGTAATAAACACATCAGAATATGAGCATATTTCGGAGCCAGGCTCTAATTGAAACATGCAGGCAGCACTGCGTAGGTTTCATTCAGAGGATGTTTCATGTCATGGATTGTCATGAACCCAAATCTGAATTACTCCTCGGTTTGAGGCATTTGTACGGTATTTGTGTGTTCCTGTGGTCGAAACACACCACAGGGTCAACATGTAGCCCAAAAATGCACTTCTCTGGCTTTTTCCAAGATGCAGACGTCACACAAGCACATGGCATCAAGCAACAAACGCCGACGTGTTTTTGCGTCGTGTGAGGATAACATCCTGCTCTGATTGTAATGTAATTAGGTTATACAAGTGAGCGGATTACGGTGACCACTCAAGAATGAAATGAAACCAACTTGAAAGCGAGTGCAGTGAACGAGCCAGCGTGTGTTTCGCTCATCCAGCTCCAAAGACAAAAGCAAGGCTGCGTGCGTACCTTGCTAGGACCGATTTTTGATTTCAGCCTCCGATAGAAGCTCAGAAGTGGATGAGCAGCAGCGTGTTGTTGTACTCGCGCCAGTTTCGAGCAAGGATGCTGGCACTTGTTCTGGTGTGTGCGTCTGTGTGTGTGTGTGTGTGTGTGTGTGTGTGTGTGTGTGTGTGTGTGTGTGTGTGTGTGTATTTCCTATTAATTTGGTTGTCGTGGTGTTAGGTATGTGTGCTGGCAGTAAGACAGAAACAAAGAAGCAAGTGGTAATTGACACCATCGGGACCAAGGAAGAAGTACTAAGAGTCACATTCTGCCAATATCTCATTGCTTCCTTCTTTTATTTTATTTAATTTTTTTTTTGCTTACCTTTGTCACCATGACAGTTTAATTGTCCCATCTTGCCGCTAGCTGCGTCGTTTGACTACGCTGAAGTCTTGGACCGCGCCATTGCCGCCACCGGCTTCTCATTGACGCTGCCATAATATGATTTCATAGGGCCATCATCAACTGCAACCACTTCGCTTTATGAACCCGTACCTCATTTTGATATAGGCCATATATTAATAATGGAAAAGCCATGTATCATTATTTCGACCATTGAATTGCAATGAAGCCATAATGGTCAAATTGCCAATGCTATATGAACTTACCGTTGACATTTATAGTTAAAATAGGAATAAGAATGTCTGTATTGTCACTTCTGTTGTAGCTGTTAAAATAACGCTCGGTTTTTGATGCCAAAGGATCCATTTTTCTTTTTTTTTTTTTATTGGGGTGTTCTCGTACAGTGGTTTGTAACCGCACTTTTTGTTTTCCCCGAAGTCATGTAAACAATGCAAAAGGTTTTTCCATCTTTCATCGTCAACTATAAATTCCAGCTCTCTTGGCGTTCAGTTTAGTCACGGCAAATAGGTTCATGGAAGTGCAACAGTGGACCAGTCGATCGGCAGCGTTGCTAAGCAGCGGAGGGGAGTCCCGCGCTGCCATGTCTTTCATAGGCAAGGTCGCGGCGGCAGTTAACTTCCCACGTTTCGCTGTAACGAAGGCCTTTTCACTATTATGTGAGGGAAAAAAATCCGGTCGTTATAAAGAAGTTAACGTTATAAAGGTGTTCGTTGTTAGCAAAATCGGCAAATGGAAAGCGAATGACGTGAAATCGGGACTTTGAATTGTGAATGTTGCAGGAGTGAAAACGTAAGCGGGGTCCGATGAAACGAGGTTCGACTGTACACAGTTGGCTCCGCGTGGAAACGGAAATTAACTTTTTTGATACGTAATCTATAGCGGATGATAACCTCCCGTTACCTACGACAGATCAGCGTATTGTACAAGCGACGCTCTCGGTTAGCGCCCGAACGGATCACATCATGATGTCTCCATCGGCAATGACACGGCCCAGATCGCGATCGGTTCTGGCGTCAGAGCCATCAAAGGCCAGCTTGTTCAATTGACTGGTCGGTGTGGGGGGACGGTGCTATTTGCAGTGCTGCACGTTGACGAAAAAGCACGTCTGAATAAAAACACATCCTCGGGCGGGTGGCTCGGTCGATAGTTTCAGAGCGCTTTGAGGATTTCTCACACTCTTGCCTTATTTGTTCTTCGGCCCCTTTCCTTCCTTCTTTGGCCGTGTTGAGAAACCACTTCAAATGGTGCCGACCGCTTCTTCTGCCCGCTTGGCACTCAAATCATTCCCCCCCCCCTCTTTTAGTCCTCTTCTTCCCGATCTCCAAGGCTGCCTCTCATTTCGCCGTAGCCACATCAAACGACCGATCTTGTCCAAAGACTCAAGAACAGCACCCTTCTTGTCATCACCTCACTCCCGGTCTCTCTGTTTACTTTGGAAATTGTTTTAGAAAATACATTTTGGGAAGAAGGCTTATCCCGAGCCCATTAGTAGGTGATGGCTTCCAGCTGCGCAATGCAGCATATTTCTGCGAATAGCAATCTTCGAAAACAACTTTTGTCTGTGATATAAATCAGACAGTTAATGCACTGTTGGCTGAGTGTGCAGTCGTGCTGCCTACATGGTGGCCTCGTGCGCGTGTGTGTGTGTGTGTGTGTGTGTGTGTGTGTGTGTGTGTGTGTGTGTGTGTGTGCGTGTGCGTGTGCGTGGAAAACCTGAATGATGATGTTTTTACACCACAATCAAGCCCATTTGCAAACATTTAAATCAAAACCTCCCAAACACCAGGACAGCACTTTGCGGACGCTTCATAACGCAGCGTCATTTTTGTCTCGCCTTTGTTCAACGCTAACACGTGGCAAGTCTCCAAATTCATTTTCAACTGGTTACTTTGCTTTGAATCCTGTTGATTTTTTTTTTTCTTCCCTCTTTTGTTTTTCATGATGTGCACTCACTGACCACTGGCTCTCTTCTGGCTTGCATTCTTCCGCTAGAATTAATTTTTTTTTTGAACGTTTCTCCAAGCGCTTTCATGATAATTGAATGATTGAACGAAAAATAACGGTCGTCTCTGCCCAATCTATCTGGACTTAGAACAAGGCCCGGTCATAAAAGAAGGCAAAGTTATGATTAATGGCTTTAATCTTTTGTTTTCTTTTCCTGCTGACAAAACCTCGTGTTCCGACAAGAACGGATTAGTGCGGTGTCGTGCATGACTACGTGTTCCAAACTCCCATAAAAAAAAACAACCCAAAAAACACTTCTACCAAAGCCATCGTGACGTTACTAGGCAACCGGTGGAAACTCGAGTAGATAAAAGATCGAAATTGTAAATCAGGGAGATTCAGAGGCGTGCTGATGGACTCCTCAAAACAGCGTGCGCAGAGTAATACAATTGCTTTCTCGTTAGCACGACCGAGCACAAGCTTTAAATCACAAAGGCTCGCTTTCCTCGTTGGTCCTTGTTAGTTTGTTTTTTTTTAGTTTGTTTGATTTCAAAGAACACGACACACCCCCCCCCCCC